ATTTATTAAATCATCATTAATATCACAGGAATAAAAAAGTCATATGGCCCACATTAATTTTAACATTCCAAGGCTGGTTGGAGTAGGATCCATAATGGTATATTCTTAAGCGAAATTCTATTCGATGGTATGAAGACAGAGTAGATTCAGATGTTGGATACTGCTAGTTGATTATCATTTAATTAATTGTTTAGTTAAAAAAAATATTTATAAAATATATTATAGAATGTATTTATAGAGAAGACAGAGATGGTTGTACAATACAATGTATTAAACATATTTTGTATTTAATTATAGTTTAATATAATAGATTTTATGGTGATGTTGATCATTTACCGAGAAGGAAAAGTAAGAGTCCAACTCATACCAGTCCTTTTTAAATTTTTGCTTCGTGAGGAGGAATAATGAATGGCATGAATGTTTGATGGCCACCAAGGAAGTTGAGCAGTCATCAGAGAAATTGGCCAACTGGGTATCCTCCTTGTAGTAAAGCTTATTTATATCATCTCATTACTCTCGGTTCAACTGCAGCAGCAGCAGCAGCACATGTCAAAGGTTTAGGTGTGAAGCACTAAATATTCACCTTCCTCTCTCCTCTCTGTCTCGGTAATGAATTTACTACACCAGTATTCTTCATGGTGCCAAAACCAAAAGAAGCAGTTTGATGTGATGTTGAGCGATTCCTAGTTTTGCTAATTCTTGGTCCCATTGCTTGCGGCATTTCCACAGAGTTCAAGAGCTAAATCTTTATATGACCATGGTCTTCACGGGGTGGTTGAATAAAATTAATTAGGAAGCATCGACCTGCGAGATCTCGGAGCCCATCTTTGCACTTCTTCAGTGATTTCGTCGGAGAAGCTGACACCTCAACTGTGTAGATTAAAGATAAAGATACAAGCACAACTATATATATGATATGAATACATTGACACTGAATTCTCTTCGCTTCTGTTGCGTTTCTTCTCCTCTCGGTCTGTACATGCATGCATGGCTTTTGGCCATAGGCGATCATTGCTACCAGTCTTCTTTCTCTGCTGCCTTCGAATCTGCTACACGGAGCATGGTAACTCCCACCCAGTCTGATCTTTATATGTTAAGGCATAGAGCAAGACTATGATGTGAACTGTTATCAATCCTCAGCATCAACCTACACCTTCGTGAAGCACGCAGTGCAGGCACCGCCGGTGTCGTACTATGACTACATCATAGTCGGCGGTGGGACGGCAGGCTGCCCACTGGCCGCAACCCTGTCGGAGAAGCACAGCGTGCTGCTGCTGGAGAGAGGTGGCTCGCCTTACGGAAACAGAAACATAACAGAGCTGGCATACTTCAGTCAGAACCTGGCCGACACCTCGCCGGCCTCGCCCTCCCAACGCTTCCTCTCCGAGGACGGGGTCATCAACGCGCGCGCTCGGGTGCTCGGGGGAGGGAGCTGCCTCAACGCAGGGTTCTACACGCGCGCCAGCCCCGAGTACGTGAGGGACGTCGGCTGGGACGGGGCGTTGGTGAACCAGTCCTACCAGTGGGTGGAGAAGATGGTAGCCTTCGAGCCGCCGATGCTTCAGTGGCAGTCGGCGGTCAGGGACGGGCTTCTGGAGGCTGGCATTACGCCCTACAACGGCTTCACGTACGACCACATGTACGGGACAAAGATCGGGGGAACCATTTTTGACAGAGACGGGCACCGGCACACCGCTGCCGATCTGCTCCAGTACGCGAATCCCGACGGACTGATGGTTCTTCTGCATGCCACGGTAGGAAGGATCTTGTTCCGGCAAACAGGTAATGGTGAAACATGGTGAGGAAGGAAAGAAATTAGAATGTGTGAAACGAAGAAGAGAAAGAAAGGAAAGCTGGAATAAATCTTGCTTCGTACGTAAGTGCAGGAGGAGCGGCAAGACCGGTAGCTCATGGAGTTGTGTTCCACGACGCGGCGGGCGTGAGGCACAGGGCGTACTTGAACAATGGTGCGAAGAATGAGATCGTAGTGTGCGCGGGGGCAGTGGGGAGCCCTCAGCTACTCATGCTGAGTGGCGTCGGCCCGAGGGATCACCTCGAGTCACTGGCCATCGACGTCGTGGTGGACCAGCCCATGGTGGGGCAGAGCATGTCGGACAATCCAATGAACGCCATCTTTGTTCCTTCTCCAACGCCGGTGGAGGTCTCCCTCATACAAGTCGTCGGCATCACCAGGTTTGGGAGCTTCATCGAGGGGGCCAGCGGATCCAACTTCGCTTCACACTACTCCCAAATCACTCACGAACTCAGATTTGGCATGTTTTCTGCTCAGGTACCTACTTAAAGCTGATCTGAAACTTGTACGTGCGTACCAGTACATCAGTCTCAGATGATGTACGAACACATTGAGCATATGTTTCCGCTGCAGACTGGCCAAATATTCACGATCAATGACATGAACGACCTTCCTGCTGCGTCGTCCTCCATGAGAGGAGGGTTCATACTAGAGAAGATCATGGGCCCCCTCTCCACAGGTCATCTTGATCTCAAGAACAAGAACCCGGATGACAACCCCTCTGTCACCTTCAACTACTTCAAGGAACCCGAGGATCTACAAAGGTGCGTCAAAGGCATAGAGACGATCGAGAAGGTGATACAGTCGAAAGCCTTCTCTAGGTTCAGGTTCCAGTATATATCGACGGAAGAGCTACTCAGAATGGCCTTAAACTTCCCCATGAACTTACTGCCGAAGCATGACAACGCCTCCAAGTCCTTGGAGCAGTTCTGCAAGGACACAGTGATGACCATATGGCACTACCATGGAGGTTGCCAAGTCGGCCAAGTGGTCGACAAGGATTACAAAGTTGTCGGCGTGGATGCACTCCGAGTAGTGGATGGATCCACGTTCAACTTCTCCCCTGGCACAAATCCTCAGGCCACAGTCATGATGCTTGGCAGGTTTTTAATCTTACTTCCATGCTTGAGAATGATTATTTTAATTTTTAATCTTACATATGATCTCAGTGAAGAATTAATATTACTAAGAAAATTTTGATCGTCCTCCTTCCAATCCCTTTCTTTATATGTTTCTGTGATATATATATATATATATATATATATATATATATATATATATATATATATATATATATATATATATA